CTTTGATCCATTTTGAGTTTACTTTTGTGTATGGAGTTAGACAATAATCCAGTTTGATTCTCTTATGTGTAGTTGTCCAGTTTTGCCAACACCAGGTTGTTGAAGAGGCTGTCCTTTCCCCATTGTACATACATGGTTCCTTTATCGTATATTAATTGGCCATGTACATGTGGGTTTATATCTGGGCTCTCTATTCTGTTCTATTGATCTCAGGTTCTTTTTTGGGGGACTGTGGCTTATTACTGATAATTGTCAAGTGGAAAGATCTGATAAAGGTTCATAATAATATTTGGTACTCTCTGTGGCATACAAAACATTATTCCAAAAAGCTTTTTAAACAGAATGTTTCTAAAGATAATGTTTAAATCTATTCTCAAAGAAGACAGTGACCCTTACATGTGATTTATAAGTAGGGAGGAGTATAACTTTTTATAGGTGAAAAAATCTGTATGTTTAGTGTGATAATCCTGTGACCTAATGTACCAGGAATAACACCAAAAATATCAAGAGGTTCAGTAAGTCAAGGATGGAGCTTATACGTGTACATTTTTGTAAAACTCTGTAGGTGAGTGTGAAATAACAACCCTGTTTGAAAACAACTGACCTAGAAGATGCTACATGTGAATTAAAGCAGTGAGATTGTATCAGAAAACAGTTAAATAAAAGTTAGGATTGACAGCACTGTATCACCAGAACTTTGATAAATACGGGAAAACTTGACAGAACTATTTCATAAACTTTGAATAGTGTTTCCTTTCATATTTAAACATATGAAAAGCAAGAAATTGATAAATCTCCAGAGATTTCTCATAAACAATTTAAAAAGTAAACTAATTACATTTTGGCATGTTAATTTTACTTACAAAAGTTTGAATGAATTTCCCAATGTGAAAATTCTTCCCATGCAACTCTTCACCTTAGTAACACATCAAACAAACCTAATTATTTCTAGCATGTTTTCTTATATATTGAAAGAACAAACTTTTGTGATTCTCAGAGTCTCTCTGAAAATTCTCAAAGGTATTTTCACTTATACATAGAGGGTACCATGAAAGTTTTATTTTTCTATATTGAGAATCTGATTTTGGAAAGGGTATTAGTTTCCTAGGGCTGCCATAACAAAATACCACAGACTCGTTGGCTTAAACAACAGAAATTTATTTTCTCACAGTCCTGGAGGGTAGAAGTCCAAAAGGAAGGTGTCAGCAGGTTTGATTTCTTCTGTGGCCTCTCTCCTTGGCTTGCAGATGGCTGCCTTCCTGCTGAGTGCTCACATTGCCTTTTCTCTGTGTGTGTGCATTGCTGGTATCTCTTCTTATTAAGGATACCCCAGGCATACTGGAATAGGGCCCACCCTAGCAGGTTTGTTATACTGTTCACTTCTTTAAAGGTGCTGTCTCCAAGTACAGTCACATTCTGAGGTGTATTAGGGTTAGGGCTTCAAAAGAATGAATTTGTTGGGACACAATTTAGCACATAACAGGATGGCAAAATAATCAGTTATGAGAGAAGATTTGAACACTATTAAGATATAATCACTGATACCTGAGAAACAATAGTTGATTACCTATTTTATCAAAGTGACAATCAAACATTTCAAAACAAATGTAGATGGTGATGTGATTGAAAAGAACTTTAGCTCTTTCATAAAGTGAGAAACCTTTGTTCTTTTCTCCCCTTTAATAATCAAAGACAGTAAAGTCAAAGCATAGAAGATTGTTTTAGTAAAACACAGAAGTTTTGCTACCTAGCAGATTATTACACAAAAGGTAGTAACATTTTATATTATAGGTGAAGGCATGAACTAGTAAACCATGGGAGCACACCCTTCAAACTTGAGTGGACTTTGCTAAGATATTAACACATTCTATAACTTCTTTCAGAGTCAAGTGTAAATTGAAGCAATAAAATTCACTACCATGTTATGTCTTCAGTGATGACCTTTTGATATTCGGGGACAAACACACTTGATTGAGGACAGTGGTGTTGTCTCAGAGGACCCATGAGGTGAAAATGACTATTAATACTAAGATGTTACCTATGTTAACATGCAGTGCATTTTGTTACTGCTTATCTTCAAGTAAATCAGTGTTTTTTAAATTTCTTAATTTTAAATAGGGTATTGGTACTTTTAGTCTGCACATAAGCAGAAGCTCTTTGGGGTTCTGAATATGTCCTAGGAGTGTAAAGGGTTCAGAGACCATCAAAAATTACTCCTTTTCCATGCAAATCAAAAAGCACATGTAGTATCTCTTGTCAGTTTTGCTTCTAAATAGACATGCACTTTACAGAACTGTAAATATCTCAAGATACTTTTCAGGTGGAAATATTCCTGAGGAGTGCCCTAAAGAGACTCCATAATTTTTTTGGGGGGAGGGTTAAGGGAGCTAGGAGGGCCTATTTCAGTGTTCATGATTTTTCCTGACAGTGTAGATTTCTTCATAGAGTAAGGAGGAGGTGAACTAGCCCTCCTAGATAGGACAACATATATTATAAAACTGTAACAAGTAAATGAGATTATTGGTATACTCACAGACATTCAGATTGTTATAATTTAATGGAAAGTCCAGAAAAAAAATCCCTGTATAGGCATTCTATATAGGGTTTGTTTCAAGTTCAAACTCTAGTTGATTCATAATGGTTCTCAGAGATAATGTTGTAAAGTATTTTGAGAACACTTCTGGGATAGAGAAGAGTGTCAGAATTGCTTACAATTATGTGTTGTGGGTGGAAGAAGTAGTGCCTTTTCATAACTTTCAAGACATCACTAACCTGTGTAGTTGGGGGAAGAGTTACTCAGCACCTGAAAATTTGCAGGGAAAAGAGTTTGGGAAAAACTCTAACCTAATAATATACACTAAAATAAATTATAGGTGGATTTAAGAGTTAAATGTAAAAACATTCTTAAGAAATGAATATGGGAAAAGCCTTTCTCATCATATGGCGATGAAAGTCACCATAAACAGTGAGAGAAACACATTTGCATAAATGGAAAAGGTATCTTTGAGTCAAAATTAAATAATTATTTAGGAAAAATATTTATAGCAAGTACAACCTAAAATTAATTAGTCTAAATATCCCAGTCCTCATACATATTGATGAGAAAAACATTAAGACACTGAGCAGATAACACAGAATATACAAAGGAAATTAATGGAAATTCCCAAAGAGGAAATTCTTATTACTAAAAATAAGCAAAAATTATTACCCTCTTTCATATCAAAGAAATATAAATTCAAAAAGCAAGAGGATAGTATAAAATAAATGAAAAGATCAAACATTAATCCTTTTCCTATTACAGAGTGACAAACTGTAGTTGATAGGAGGAAGTTAATGATCCAGCTATGTTAGCATATCATCATTTTTCAACACACAATGAATGGTGTAAGCATTGAGCATCAGTGGTTCTGACATCACATAAAGGAACCCAGCCACACATTATGTGCTTGCTAATGGAAGAACAAGCCCCACTACCACCATGTAATAGTTTTGTTGTAATAAACTCTAAAGCCTCTCTAGATCCAACTACCAATTTACAGAAAATGCAGAAGACTGTGAAAAATGTTAGGAGAAACCTCGGGGTTACAATCAACAAAATCAAATCTAGGAAGCTGTATAAGGCAAATAAGTAGGTTTCATAGACATTTTGTAAAAAGGAAATTAAGAAAAATTTTGGTACCCTCCTCATAGCCCCCAGAAACCTGTTCATGTACTGTAGATTAGTCATCTGTGTTCTTGACAATAAAGGGCAAGGTCGTAGTTTAGGAATAAAAGTAACATCATGCTAAATCTTTTGAGGTAGTGAATGAATTCTTGTAGGCTTGTGAGAATGATGTAGAGAAAAGATTTTGAATAGAATGATCAGTTTATTTAGCATTTTAGATTTACCGTTTTAATCTGTTCTTAAAAGTTAATTTTGGCCTTAGAGCATTCTGTTACTTATGGAAAATTTGGTCATAGTAATGTTCTCAACTCTGAACCTCTGATTAGTATGTTCAAGCTAGGTAAGTATTATTTTATGTTATTTATTCATATTAACTAATATTTACTGAGCTGAGCTCTTTTGCAGTAAAGCATTATGTTTGATGGTAGGGAATGATCAAGGAAATTAAGATGTCTAAGAATTTGTATTTCTATAACAGCAAATGGTCAAAAGTAATTCAAGGTGATAAGTTAGTCAACTAAAGGGTGGGAGTTGGGACTGGTATGACAGAAATGGATTATATTTGGAAATAACTAGTCTTAAAATTACAACATGGAGCTTTGGTGTTTTGGTATGTGATACTTGTAAATACCAGCCCAGCAGTATTTTTGATAATAGATACTCTTTCCATTTTGAGGAGCAGAAAAGAAAAAAGAAGAGGCTTTAATATCTAACTGAAAAGGAACTTTATTGTCCCCTATTTATTTCTACTAAACTTATCTATTGATTTTTATATTTTTGGACTTGATTTAGGTTTCACTGATATATAATTGCCAACGAAGAGCTACTTGTATTTTCTTACTTTTGTACAGTATTACTGAAAGAGATCATTTTGTATTATATTCACTCAAGAAGTTTTAGCATTTATTTGTCATTCTTTTATCATTTAAATGATATTTTAAATAGCATTGAAAAATGAATATTCTTAATTTCTATTTTCTTATGAGCTGGATTTTATACCTCTTTCATTCAATTTTCACATCATTTTCAGTTTAGACTAAAATACATTGGGATAATAAAGATATAGACTAGAAAACACATTTTTTTGTATAGGCCAGAAGACTTATAAACTTACCAAATACTTTTTATTTTTGTGGGATCATTAAATGTTCATCACTTGGTCAGTCTTATTTCCATAGCAATCAGAATATTCCAGGTCATTTTATATTATTAAGCCCTATGAATGGGAGGCCTAATGAAGTTAGGTAATTAAGAGAAAATACAGTAGCATATTTGATGCTCTGAAAAATGTCATTAAAGTCTTGATTTCTTTTTTTTTTTTGCATTTTTATTACAGATTCTGAAGAATATTTCTGTGTAAAAAGAATTTTCTCAGGTGGAGATCAAAGCTTTTCACATTACTCTAATCCCCAGGTAATAGTAGTCATGTAAATAATTACTAAGGTCAGCTAATTTTAAAGAATTTTTTAAACCTGTTACTAATGTTCTTTATATGTTTCAAAATAATTGCCTTACATTTTTTTTTTCTCAAGTCTATAAAATTTTTGATTCATTGGATACATTTTTGTTTCAGGTGTTTAGTAGAAATTTACTTCTGTTTAAAAAAAATCAAATATAATGGAAACATGTCTTATTTTACATTATATGTGTATATATATATATATATATATATATGTATATCTT